ACCATGACAAATCCTTATGGAGATTTTGCAATTGTTTGAGCGCTACTGCTCTAAGCAAAGCCTGTACTCCAAGTAGTGCTGATCTGTAGGTTCAGAGAGCGGACGCACAGCAACTTTCAGGCTCTCGTTCGCCTTAGGCTGAGTCGCAAGATCCACATACATAGACATGTGACTTCTCCACCACGGCACGATGAGCACCAGATGAGTTTAATTTAAACAACATGACGTGATCGAGCCTGCAAAATTTGCTAGGGCTCATCCACTTGCAGACCATGCTCTCTAATCCGGGCTTGGATCATGAGTAACGAGCTGGACGTAGTTGTGAGCTCGGGCGGGATTCATCATACATTCCGCAATATAGAACTTGGACGGAGTGCGTTTATCGAAATGCTGATAGAAATCGAAGTGAAGAGAGCGACCTGACGGCCCTCCCGTATGTATCTTGGTGAAGGCTGAGGTGTTGGACCAGGACTCAGAGAGTCTCTGCGGCCGTTCTCATGGGAGGGCACCTTCGATCGCACGAGCCGCGCCTTTCTACGAGGCTTGCTCTAGCATATAAGGAATGCAAGAGAAGAGCTCCGATGCAAGTTTTTTGTAAGAGTAGACACTATAAGACGCGAATAATGGAGTGTGTCGCTTACTTTTTCTCAATTTTATAATCAGGCAAATGCTTGCGAATCATAGTGGGGTTCATAGGGAGGAAGCAAATGGGGGCGTAATGTTCAATTAAAACAAACACGTTACACTTGCTTATTTGTGCAAAACGATAGCAATGTATCGGGTCTGAGACGACGATTGAGCTTCGTGAAGAAGAGGGTTGTGGGACAGAGCATCGCGTCATGCAATGCGGATGTTTTTGTATTCAGCACAGCAACCATATATTCCCTTTTGACTTAAGATACTATCAGTACCGTACTTGGGTTGTGCGCAGTTTATGCTGAAGATTGTGCGAAATTCCTTCTGTGCGTGAAGCACAGTAATCCATCATTTCATGGTGTAAGGCCAGTCGGCAAAGGTGGGATTCAATTTAGGCGCTCCTTATCAGGTGAACACAATGTTCAAATAGGTAAAGTTTCCAGAGTATCTTCTATGTCGGACGCCTCAAATTGTTATGGACGCGCTAGTAGAAGGTGTACTCTGATCAGCACCTCTGGAAGTCGCCTTGGGTTTTAAAAGTGACTTGGCAGGAATTTCAGCTCTCCAAGGTAAATGTGGAGGCGCGTTACCCATGCCATGATATGATTTTAAGAAAACTGTTGCAATTGAATGCACAGCGCGTTGTAGACTGGTGCTCTCAAAAGCGCAATTTGATTGATGCAATTAAACAAACCAAATCAAATAGAGGGGAAGATAAATTGTATTGTATATGTCCAATGTTGGGGGTGGATGTAGCGAGGTTTCATTGTGCGCCCGTGTCAAAGGGTACCGATTTATGGTAAACAAGTTGAAGCCATGCATACTTCTGTGACAGTTCCATTATCAGATACAGTACTTTTTTCAGATTTGGTGGATAATTACTTTCTTAGTAAGATACATTCGGAGTAATGGAAGGGGACCTTGAGGATCATTTACTGATAATCGTAAAATAAAATATGCTTTATCGAGCAAAGTGCTGTGTTCCAATCTGCTACAGTAGTGGTAAACTTCTTGGTATTTCACAAATTTAACAAATTTCAAAAGCGACATATATTTGAGATTAACGCTTATTATATACGATTTACTATGCTCGATTATAATCCTTTAGATATTGAGCCCCTCCTTATCGGAATTCATAGTTTCAGTACATCACAAGTATACAAAGTGTAATTTGAATTTTGAGCAGTTGTACAAATTGTACAATTGCTCAAAATTCAGATTACTGTACAAATTGTACAGTAATCTGAATTTTAGTACAATTTATACAAATTGTATAGTAATTATAAGGCAACAACAGTACAGTACAAACCCCTTTCCCCGGAATCCAGTTTAGGTTGTGTTTGATAATCTTAATCATGCTGCCGGCTTTTCCTCTATTCGCATTACATACCGTGGGGAACAAAGCATTGTCTTTCGGACCTCAGAATCATCATATCCATCCGAACTGAACACAAAGTACTTTTCATACTACTTCACTCTGGTACTTATGGGCTTTGAATGGACCCCATCATGACGGAGTGAACAGGTCAAATATTGGATTTAGGTCTTTGTTAACAGATTGTACGATTTATATAATGCTGGCAACATATGGCAGGCAGTACATATCTCAACTTGCAGATGTTAGCCAAGAGATCAGCACTATCAGCGCTAGTAGTGCGATTGCGCCTATAGGGTCCCAAACCACATTATTGCAGCTGCCTCAGCGTCAACCGTACGTTGAAGATTCGCACGCTCGTATCTTCGGGATATTTCTCACGGGTACAGATAATGCATCAAGAGACTACAATAAGAATGCAATGCGAAGAGCAAAGCAAAATGTTTAAATTATCAATCAACACAACAAGGCATTCGAAGAGAAATGGGCTTGTGTTGAGCGGAGCTGAGAAAGCTTTAAAACAACTTTGCTCAGATCGCTACGCCCGTTTGCGAAATGGGTTCATTGCGTCATAAAATCAAGTGACCAGCTGATGAATTGAATTATAACATCGAATTTTCTATGCACAAAGCAAAGGTGTAAAACACTCTGGAAAAGTAGTTAAAGCACGCGCTGGATGGTTTACGCCATCCAGTTGCAAAAAGCATATTTATGCAATTAATATAAATCATGGCATGCCATAAGCTGTGTAGACTTTTCGCGAGGAAAGTGGAAAGGAGTGTTTATTTCGCAATCAGCTTCGAAGCCAAAACGAGAATTCCAGATTCCCTCCCATCTCGGCTTAAATGTTTGGGGGATTCACCGACCTATGCATCGGTGCTGTAGCACTTTCGTCCTTTCACTATACCGTCAACGCTCAGCCAACATACGACGCTATTATCGTTGGTAGTGGTCCCGGTGGTCTTGTTGCAGCTGAGTTCTTGTCGCGCGACCCTTCAGTCTCCGTGCTGATCATCGAGGCTGGACCTTTGTCTCTTCAAGCTACCGGGGGCACGTTGATTCCGGATTATTCTCGAAGTCTTGGCCTGACGATCTTTGACATTCCAGGAGAATATGAAAATATCGCTTTTCGCTCCCAATTTACACAATTTCGTGTGGAATGGATCTCAAGTCCGGGTACATGGCTGGGCAAACTTGTTGGTGGGAGCTCGTCATTAAATGGTGCAATCTATACTCGCCCTCCAAATGACTACGTGACGAAGACGCAGTGGCCTTTCACGGTGGATTCCATGAACATAAAGATGGATGAAAACGAGAGAATCCATAGTGCTACTGATAAACCCTCGACAGACGGCAATTGGTACCTGCAAGAAGGCTACAAGGTTGTCTCCCGGGCACTTCTTGCTCAAAGCTATTCTGAAATGACGCTCAATGATGCTGCAGCTCGCAACAACAAAAGCAAAACGTTTGGTCACCCCCCTTTCACCATCAAGAATGGCCGTCGTGACTCTCCTGCCAACGAGCTGTGGAACAGAATGAAGACGCGCGAAAATGTCCGGCTTCTTACCAATACCGTTGTTGACTATGTGTTGCATTCTGAGGGCAAGGCAACAGGAGTCATGTACGGTGATACTATGGCTAGGCTCTCGTCGCGCGGTGCGATCGTCATGGCCGCCGGCGCACTGAGCACACCGAAGATACTCATTCAAAGTGGGATCGGTCCTATTGGCCAGCTGAACTTGCTGCAGGGCAACGCGAGCTTCCGCGGTATATCACAGGGGGAGTGGATTGTTAACCCTCAAGTTGGTCGCAATCTGTTCGACTCGAATATGGTCATTGCTTCGTTTTCGCATCCGGAGATGAACAGCTTTCGCTTTGCCGATTATCCATCGTGGGCACTTGACCAGTATGTCAATCAAAACGGCTCCGGTCCTTGGAGCAGTTCTGGCCCAGTCATGATCGCCTACGAGAATTTCGAGGTGCAGGGCCGTCAGTATGAATTTCAAGCTACAGTCCTCCCCCATGGGTTTGGCCAATATTCCAGCGGAAATACTAATTTGGCATTGGCACTCTACCTAACCAACCCAGAAATCCGTGCGGCTTGTGGCTTTACCAACACAGGAATTTGGCAAGCGTCTCAGGAAGCCAACGTGTACACTGGTACGGCTCGCGACGTGGCTGCGTTGCAGCAGTACGCTCAACGCGTCGTCAACTACATGACGTCCGGGGGTGCCACCTTTCTTTCAGGTGCTTCGGATCCGAATGGAGTAGCAAACTGGGTATTGTCACAACTTGGCGGCGCAACGCAGCACTTTGGTGGAAGCTGTTACGCATCGACTGATGCCTCCGCGGAATCTAAGCGATGTGCTGACGAAAAGCTGCGCGTCTTAGGTACGAGCAACATCTTTATTGCCGACGCCAGTGCAATGCGCGAAGGGACTGTAAACCCGTATGCCTTTGTCATGTATATCGGTCGCGAGGCGGCTGACCAGGTTGCGAGCTACATTTCAAGTAGTGGTGACTCTGCGACACCAACTAGACCGTGCAGCCCAATCGAGGAAAACGTCGACTACTATGGCAATGACGTTGGCAACGCCCAAAGCACCACGGCCGAATCCTGCTGCGCCATATGTCAAAACACAAACGGCTGCACGGTTTACACGTGGACAAACTACAACGGAGGCACTTGTTGGCTCAAAAGCACGAAGGGTCCTGCATCAACGAGTCAGGGTGCTCGTTCGGCGCAGGTGAATTGAGTCGCGCAGGTCCGGCTTGAAGTAAAGTGACTTCATCATAGCAGCACATAACGTGCTGTTGTATACCCTGAGCGGATTATTGCTGTAATTATTGCATATCTTTGTAATTCTACAACAAGTCGAAAAAAGTGTGGGACACATCGTCTTTCGCAAAAACATCTCTGAAAATTAAAAAACAGAAAAATTAGAAATAAGCTTTCCGCAGGTGAATTGGATAACAAACTTTAGACAGTGATCTAGTATTGATCTTCGTTCTACGAAATCACGCCAGATGTATGAAGAAGATTAATCCATAGCTCAAAAGACCGCGATCTTCTACTCTGCCTTACCCCCATACTACTATAGTAGTAGCAAGTTTGGAATATATCACTGTTTCAATTTGCTACTTTGAAATACTTATCGAAAATTATCCCCTCTATTTGTTGGTACGAGCGCAAAAAATCTAAAATGGTACGATAGTTGCTACTGTTGTAACTTCGATAAGTCTACGCTTATGTTGCTTTCGCTTGTAGCTTAAACATTCGTGGAAAGAACCATATTTCTTGACATCGGGATTAGATACGACGACCTAAATGTCACCACAAATTTTAAAAGATTCTGTCACATTTTTGTAATATGATCTCATGCGCGACAAGAATCGTCAATGGTGCTAAGATGCATTACTACGCATGAAATTGAGTGTTGCACTTCTCAAAGATCGATATGGAATTGGGCGGATAATCAGAAAACCAGCCGCCTAGACCCTGATGATTCGCAACACAAAGAATAAAAAACAGAGACTCTTGTTGCTCGGACGCCGCAAAGGTTTTATATCTTGACGTGCCAATTACTCGGGAAGACGAAGTTGCTGCTCAAGCGACGATATAGCTCGCGTTTATGAAGCTGTATGGAAGTGAAAAGTTGTTGTTGTTTAATTGTGCGAGTTTCTCATCGGAAAGAATTCGTTTGATCTTGTTGACGCTGAATAATTTAAGCGATGGCAAGTTGTTGATGTCAACAGCACCGCGATTGCATGGACCGGTCACACCGTAGTTGACTCACTTCCACCAATTCATAATGCTAATTTTGCGCTATAGAATTGTGTGCGTACCGGTAATGAGATATATATTCAGAAACCTCGTCCTCTACATATTCTATAAAATTACACTAAAAATGTCATGAATGAAGTTAATTACTTCATACTCTCGTCTGAAACCGTGCCGCCCTCTGCTCGCTGTAAAAAGAAAAGCTCCAGCACAGAGCCAGGAACGCAGGCACGCGCTGCCTTTGGACATATCACAGCGCTCGCTCCTTCAAGTTTCCGTGCGTTTATCTGGATCGAAGCTCTTTTACCTCTCGTCTTTTAGCGCTCGCTTCCAAAAATTTTTTTTGCTTGCGCTGTGTCCACACGCGCGCGTCTAGTGACGGCGCTGCAGGCGCAGCGATTAGAAGACATCTGAGCGATCTTTGAGCATATATTTGGGTCTATACCAATTGGTAAGGTGATGCTTGCAATATATTGTACACTTCTTGCTTTGCGCTTGATATAAAACGATTTAGTGCTGACACTTAAATCCCACCATTTGCAGATAACTATGGACTCGTCACACACCTTTGTGGGCGACTTCGGTCTTAACATGAACGGAGGTGACAATAGATTTATGAATCAATTCAGCTTGGGTAGCGGCGGGAACGTTATGGATTTGTCTGGTGGTCTAGACTTTAGCAGCGGTGTAAACTTTATGACAGATTCATCCATGATGCTTGGCGGGAGCTCGTCTGCATCTACAGCGGGACTCATTGATTTTCCGGATGAGCTGAATTCGCCCACAACTTTAAGCAGCGGCTCTAGTAGCAGTAGCGCGCTCATGGATATATCTACATCCGCCCCAACGGCGCCAATTACGTCGACAGCTGACGCTATCCCCTTTCCAGCATTATTAGCGCCCGAATCATTATCGACGTCGTCTTCAATGATAAGTGCCCACGAAGTGACAAAATTTAGCTCAACTACAACCAGCAGCGCGATGGAGATAAACTCAAGTGGAATGATTTTCGAACTGGGCAATATGGGTATGAGCAATGTGGGTATGGATGATGTAGGTATGAACACAATGAGTATGAATATGGGTATGAATAGCATCGGTTTGGGGGTGAACGGGAATGATTTTGGCATGAATGACGCGACTAACATCATGTTTCATAATAACATGCAGACCATGAACATGATGAATGCCCAAACAAACTACTTTATGCCTCAGCAGCAGCAACAGCTGCAACAGCAACATTACATGCAGAGGATGCATCAGCAACATCAGCTTCAGATGCAACGCCAGCAGCAGCAGAAAGCGCTGTTAGAGCGCCAGCGAATACAGCAACAAGCTTTAAAAAGCTGCAATAATCAGCAGACAAAACAGTTGCAACAGGTGGCACAGCAGAAGCAGCATCAGATTTTTACAGGAGGACATATACCGCTGCAAATGGCTGCACAAAGCCAGTTGAGCGAGAGCAATCCAGGTGTTGACCATGCTAACGCAGCACGGTCGCAGCCACAAGGTCTGATTAAAAACAATGGAACGCCCCCTATTGCAATACGGTCAACATGGCAATCGTCAGCAGATCAAGCGCTACGGAAGGAAATGCTTAATCATATCATGCGGGTACTTCAGAACCAGCGGTCGAATGCACCAGCTAACTGGCTTCAAAAACTACCGGAGATGGCGCATCGTCTTGAAGACGAGTGCTACCGCGTCGCTGCTTCGCGAGAAGAGTATTCAAATACAAGCACACTTCAGTCGCGTCTACGCAATATTGTACGGAGTGCTCAGACACACCAGCGCAACGTTGGAGTTAATGCAATGCGACAATCCGGAGCACCGAGGACGACTTCTTCTGTAAATTCGCGGCCAGTGAACTCTGTATCTGCTGCTTCACCTATCCCGTTTCCCGGTGCACAGGCAGTATCATCGGCGTCGAATGGGCTTGGCTTTGGCATGCCAAACCTTGTCGCACAAGCGATTCAGATGCCTCCCGAATTACAGGACCCGCCATCCTTAGTCAGCCCTTCCGTGAAAGCAAAAGCGTCCCAAGCTCATGCACTGATGCAATCTACACCGTCAGCAATAAATACTTCCTCGACCGATCAATTAAATATGAGCAGGAGTACTTTGCCTCTCCCCGGGCAGAATGATGTACAAACGGCACTAAATGCAAGCGGTCACGTATTTGCTAGTGCCGAAAATCCATCATCCAACTCCCCTGCCTCCGTTGCTCGTCACAAGTCTGCCCAGATCATTTGGCAATTCAAGGCCAAGGCCCAGCAAGTCACATCAGCTCTCGACAAGAACCAGACAACCGAGTATCACAACAAGCTGCGGCTCATGGTTCGTGATGATATCAAAAGTGCGGGCTCGAAGGAGGTGTTGCAACGGCAGCAGCAGCGTCTCCTTTTATTGCGGCACGCCATGTGGTGTAAGTCGCCAGAGGGCACGTGTTCGACTACGCCGAGCTGTGGTGAGATGAAGAGATTATGGTCTCATATGAGTCTATGTCGACAGACTAATGCGTGTTCATATAATCACTGCATCTCATCCAAGTACGTGTTGTCACACTTTCAGCAATGTGCAAACCGAAAATGTCTCGTGTGCCAGGTTGTGCGATACCCCGTCGAAGTCAAGGAAAAAAGTGGGGCTTTAATGCTAGACGCTGATCGGGCATTGCAGCAAATTATTGCTGCGAGCCAACGCCGGCAGCGAATGCTTGCGATGAAAAAGCAACAGGACATCCAGCCACAGCAACAATCGCATCAGCAGATGCCTCTGGCTATGCCTGCCCATTTGCAACAAGCTCAAAGTAATGTTACTGTCTCTGCAGCTAACTTTCAGCAGCCACATCAAAGTGTGGGGCAAAATTCGGTGGGTAGTACGACACATATGGGTATGGCGATTTTGAGCGGAGGCAGAGGCAATCAATCTGTTCATACAACAACAGCTCAACTGAGTAATTCCGCGGGAAGCCCAAATGGTCTGATGAGTCAGCAAGCTATATTCAAGTCTGAGAGTGTTAGCACGTTTACAAATCTTGCACCAGATGACCAACAACAGTTTCAGCACATTAGGCAGAAATTGAGTGGACGCTCCTTAGAGCAATTGACGGCGCATTGTGTGAAGCTGGAAAAGTGGGTCGAAGAAATTCGTGCTCGGATGAACGCAATAATGAACGAGTGTCGACAGTTGTTACATCTTTCAAACTCAACGCAAGAAGTGATGCAGAAATCGCGGTATGAAGCGCTCGTTCAGGAAAAACGTGTGATGCTTAAGCAATTGGATGTAAAATTTAAGCAATGTCGAAGCCAGCGGAATATTGTTAAGCACGTAATTGATGAGCGCAATGCGACGTCAGCTCTGTCGACTTCAAAAATTGCGAATGATGTGATCAATGCTTTATCGACGCCAGTACAAATACAACCGCAAAACTGTTACCAAAAGCCTAATATTGCATCTGCTTCAACCGCATCATTGAAACCGTCCCCTGATGACTTGCTGGGGAAAGAGGCTGACGTTTCCGCAAAAGCTGAGACCAGCCATGCTGCTGCAGGAAAGCCGTTGGAAATGCCAATGGACCTACAAGACACTAGTGAAACGCCTGTTTCAGTAGCCGCGCCTTTGATCTCGCTGACAGCTTCACAGCAACCAATGAGTATGCAATCTAATTCAGTTGTAGATGGTATCTGGCCTGCATCAGCTACCAATCCCATTCAAAAACAGGAGTTTGGTCAGAATCGGGATCAATCGGGCGACAAAAGTTCTAAGAGCGGAACGCCTGCACTTTCGTTATCCGGAGCTACGGTGAAGGTCGAGCCTCTTGTGAATGCAGAAGCTACAGAAACGTCTTCAAGTAAATTTTCTGCGCTGGTTGTCAAGGAAGAAGGAGGTATCAATCCTTTGACAATGAACAATCCAACACTGAATGCCATGATGTTTGAACATCGTCGAATGGATGCTAGTACAAATTTACCGCTACCGGCAGGTGCAGTTGGAACACCAAAAGCTCTTATTGCGACCAGTGGCATAAATGCAAAGACTAACGCTGCAACGGCACCGACTCCGGCGCCACCTGCTTCCTCTGAAGTACCGATGTCTGTTCTGAGCGAGTTAAGTAACGAGGATCTTGCTTCTCATGTCGACTCGTTGTTAAAGTACTATAATGCCACCGTATCGGCAGCAAGTCTCAAGAAAAAACTGGAAGTGATGCTAAAGGGTATGATGGAGCACAAATTTGGCTGGGTATTTAATACTCCTGTGGATCCCGTAGCATTAAATATACCCAATTATTTCAAAATTATCCGCAAGCCGATGGATCTAGGTACAGTCAAGAGGAAACTAGAAGCAGGCGTCTACAAACACATGGAGGAATTCGCTTATGATGTGCGTACGACATTTCAGAATGCAATGCAGTACAATAGTGAAGATCAGGATGTTTACAGTCTTGCGAAGGACATGCTGGCGGATTTTAATAATGAAGTTCGCAAGGTGGCGGCGGAAATTGATGTGGGTGAAAAAGCTGCCCGTGCTAAGGAGAGCTCGTGTCGGCTGTGTGGTGTTGAGCGCATGGTGTTTGAACCTGCTGTATTGTACTGTAATGGCGAGTGTAATAGTCGCATTCGACGGAATTGCTACTATTACACTTCTGCAGATAACAAATATCACTGTTGTCATCAATGTCACGGCAATTTGCCTGACGTCATTAAACACAATGAAGGGCGGCAGTACTTGAAAAATGAGCTCGCACGTAAAAAGAACGATGAAGTTCATGAAGAACCATGGGTCCAATGTGACAAATGTGAGCGGTGGGTTCACCAAATCTGTGCTCTGTTTAATGGCAAAGTAGACAGTGAAAAAAAGCCGCAGCTGGTAAAAAGTGAGAGCGGCCAACTGAGTGATAGCGGCGAGGATTCCTCGTCGCCTCCATCGTCTACGACAAAGCCGACAACTGTCACGACAACAGTCGTAAAATGCTCTTCGTCGACGGAATCAAAGAGTACAATTCACTCTATAACAACTTCTCCCGGCAGTGAATTCTTATGTCCTGAGTGTTTGCTTGATTCTCGTGAGAAGGAACCGCAAAAGTATAAGATTGGTCGTCACGCATTCAGTGCTAAAGATTTACAGCGCACTAAGCTTTCGGATTTTCTGGAGCGTCGGTTAAGCAAGGCGTTGCATGCAGAGCGCGAAGATGAGGCCAAGTGGACGCGACGGGATATCAAGGATGTTGAAACTGCCGATGGTCTTACTGTGCGGTTGGTCTCCAACATTGAAAAGCAATTGATGGTGCGCGATAGGATGTTTCAGCGTTACAAAGATTCGCACAAGTACACATCTGAGCACCGCTTTAAGTCCAAATGTATTTGTATGTTCCAGGAGATCGACGGTGTGTCAGTCTTACTTTTTGGTATGTACGTGCACGAGTTTGATGAACAAGAAGCAGACTGCAACTCGCGCCGCGTATATATTTCGTATTTGGACTCCGTTAATTATTTCAACCCGCCTCATCTCCGCACCAAAGTGTACCATGAACTACTCATTGCGTACTTTGACTTCGTCAAGCTGCGTGGCTTTCATACGGCGCATCTGTGGGCTTGCCCACCCTTAAAGGGGGATGATTATATACTATATTGCCATCCTGAATCCCAAAAGACGCCCAAATCAGACCGTTTGCGCGCCTGGTATGTAGACATGCTGGTCAAAGCGGAAAGGGAGGGCGTCGTGTGGCAAATCACAAACATGTACGATGACTATTGGCGCAACGATAATACGCCATGTGTGCTGCCGTACTTCGAAGGTGACTATTGGGTTGGTTTGGCGGAAGATTTGATTGAGAAACTTGACGCTGAGAAACCGAAGAAAGTGGCAACTAAACGTGGCGTGAAATCGAACAAGCGCAAAAATTTCGACACAAAGAAAGCGGCAAGCAAAAAGACAAAATCAAAAAAGCTGAAGCGTCGGAAAATAACTTCCGGTGGAGATGTGTCAGGTGATGAGGAGGAGGACGAAGACGGACATGATGGCAGTCGCGCGCTAACTACTAAGTCACTGGATGTGCCAGACCGAAGGCTGTCGGACCCGTTGATGATAAAGCTTGGCGAGGTGATTGAGCCTATGAAGGATGACTTCCTGGTGGTCAAATTGATCCCATGTTGCCGTGTGTGCAATTTATCAGTGGTTCAGGGTGTATTATGGCGCGATTATAGTGTCAAAACAGAGCACGGTTTGAACCCGAAGGTAGTGCAAACTGCGCTATGTGATGGATGTTACCAAAAGTTGAGGGTCGTGTCTGCCGCTGGGTCTTCCGCGGCTCATAGCAGGCTCGTGGCGCGCTTGAACGCCCTGACGAAAGAGACTATTGCATTACCAGACCGCTGTACAGACCCAGATGAGATAAATGACAGCGAGTTTTTCGACACGCGCCAAGCATTTTTGAGTCTGTGCCAAGGGAATCATTATCAATTTGACGAGCTGCGACGCGCCAAGCATTCTTCCATGATGGCGCTGTATCACTTGGGTAATCCAAACCCGAATGCTTACGTTTACGAGTGTAATGCATGCACACGCGACATCGTGGCAGGCAACCGTTGGCATTGTCACACGTGTCCTGACTTTGACGTGTGCGATTCTTGCTACGCGAAGGAGAAGCATGAACACTCTTTAGAAATGGTGCCGACAGGCGGAGGAGCTGTAGCTGGTGCCGGTGTTGTTGTTGGATCTGGAGGCGCCGTCAGCACTGGAGCACCGAATCAGGAGCAGCGCCGTCTTCGCGAACAACGCGCTAAGAATGTTCGGCTTCATATGCAGCTGCTGGTTCACTCAAGTTCATGTGCTGATGGCAATTGCGGCTCTTCAAATTGCGAGAAGATGAAGGAGCTGATGCGTCACGGAGCGCAGTGTAAACAACGGGCATACGGTGGTTGCACCATCTGTAGACGCGTGTGGGCGTTGCTGCAACTTCACGCCCGCCAATGTCGTCAATATGAATGCAAAGTGCCGAGATGCCATGACCTGCGTGAGCACGTCCGCAAATTGCAACTACAGCAACAACTGATGGATGACCGTCGCCGTGCAGCTGTCACACAGCAATATCGACAGATGCAGAACGAGCGCCAACAGGAGCAGCAAAATCAAGCTCAGGGCGATGAGCTGATGCCAGAGGCATGAGAGCCAGAAAGCAGAATGAGTGTAGTATATAGGATAGGGCAAACATTAAGTAAATGTAGATGAATGTCAATCGCTTGAGGCTATCGAGAATGTGCACACGCCTGCTGATAAGTACAGAGGCCTTCTTCAAAAAATCAGCTTCATATCTAATTTTTCTTCGCACCCAGCCGTTTCTGACGACGGCGATGATGAGAGCATGGACGCTTTCCGTGGTTGGCCTGCAGCGAGCGAATAAACACGATTCTCGTGAACAATGACAGCATACTATAATTCCACAAAATAGCCTTGTCAACCTTTTTTGGTCGACGAGCGTTGCGATTTAGCAGTTCCATGGCGATAGGAGTAATCTCTGCGGCAAGAGTCGAAGGCACGCTGCGCAAACCAATGATAGACACGGTCAGTCGAGCTACCAAGAGACAAAAATTAACAGTGTCAGAATGGCAAACAGTCATGGACAGAGTGGCATAAGTAAAATGTATGCAATTGCTACCAGCAAGGGGGGAGAATAGCGGTGCAGGCGCCAATGGACTTTTAGTCATTGTAGTAAGCAAGCGCGAACACTGCATGTCAGGATGGAAAATAAATCAAAACTGAGCTAAAATTGCATTCAGGGCTCAAGTGCAATTTTAGAATTTATTTTGTCTAAATTTTATTCTTTACATCACTAGTTAGATGCTCGTCAGCTGCAGTGAAGCAAACAGGTAGCTGGCCAGTAGTTTTATGCTTGACTTTGCAAAACGACATGGACGTTAGGATGGATGCTCATTATCTCGAGCTCGTGGTAAGTCTCCACCATCCCCTGCAGTTGAACTATCTTACGCTCAAATGCAGCGAAACAGTTCTGAATCGCACAACTCACTCTGTATGATGACGTAGAACAGAGAGCGTACCCAATACAAGGCTCGTCTCAATTATGGCTACACGCGAAGACTCCCGACATGTCGCTATGACCGAGAAATCTCACTAGTAGAAGGGTCGTCCTCCACCGACACTTCTCGAGAAGCAAGAGATGGATCAATTCCATATGTGCAAAAAGTGGACCGGCAAATTTACCGGGACTCTTACCAGTTTTGGTGAAGTGAAAGGGTACCCGCGACTTTGAGGATGTATAGAAACTCAAGGGCATTGTAACAGAATTTCATGTACCCTGGTAACTGGGGTGTGTGTCACACGGGATGGGCATGGTGTGACTGCACCCAGACAAGAATACGGTATGTGGCTAGGTAGCCAGTAGTTA